TGACTAGTCAGACTCTGAAAAACCAAGCACTAGAGCAAGACAAGGAGCATTTGTTGAAGGAAACAGCAGGCCGAGACCAAAAGGTGAGATGCTGATGCTTTTTCTTCAAGCACTTTTCTGAAACTGGACATGCTAAAGCTTGCTTTGTGTTTGTTGCAGCTGGAAAAGCTCCAGGAATCGCTTTGTAACTCAGAAACCCAGATAGAGCAGCTCAACTCACAGATCCTAATTCTGTGGCAAGAAAAGGATGTTCACATCCAGGAGGCAGCCACGCATCAAAAGATCCTGCAGCAGTGTCAGGACAAGGTGAACAATGATCTTTTATACTTGTTTGGGTTAATTCAGTAATGATTAAACGAATAACTGTTAAATATTGTTGTGTAACACAAGGTCCAGGAGCTTGAGAACAGCATAGATCGGCTGATTAAGGAGAAGGAGCATTTACATCAGACCCACAGGATTCAGGAGGAGACTGCGGTCAGTGTTCTGCAGAAGGAGTGCAAGAGCTTGCGAGCACAGAACGAGGACCTTCTTAACAAAGTTAGTCGGGATTTTTCTCAATTTGTAATTATCTGTGTCCAAATTATTTATTTTATAGTGCACTAGTTGAAATGCATATGCATGACACTTTTAACCAAGGTATACATGAACCCATGACCTTGGTGTTGCTGGCACCATTACTGTTTGCACGGCATGAATGTTCTGGATTCACAATTGTGAATTCCATATAGTGCAGACTTTTAAACCCACAATGCATTATTTTTGCTGTGTACAACCAATGTCAAGTACATTTATATAGCGCTTTTCACAATATAGATTGCATCAAACAGCTTCACAGTATCAATCAAAACATAACAATGTTCGTTTCTTAGCGGAAAAACATCCACATTTGGTAGAGCTGATCAATGGTATTTCTGATTGGTTAATTAATTTGAATATCCCCAATGTATACTTGTCATTGCTAGACATTATTCAATGCAGAGGGATCACTGAACTCACCAAAGAAAATACAAATGGAAGCTTCCATTCTTGCAGTCTTTTGGTCTATACTGTGGAGATTCACCTGCGGGCGCCTCCATCCAGCCGTTCAGTGTACACCCGTTAATACAGTGCATTGTGGGATTGAATGAGTGAGCTTGAATGATGTCCACTGTGGTTTCGGACAACACTACAAATGGCTGTCCTCTCAAATAGTGCCCTTTAAGGATATAGGGGGTGATTTCGGACACAGCCTATGTGTCTCAGTAGTGAAATCTCATAGCCATTTGTCTTCCCCTGAGAACAGAAACTCTGCACAGCTGGTATAGGATTCAAATTATCCTCATGTTTAAACATTTTTTTTTGCAAATATCTATGAAAGCACAAATTTATTATGTATTTTGGGTACAATACTGTAACAACTCTCTGACCCTAAATTTGAAATGTTTTTGAAAGTCTCTCAACAAGATGAGCATAAGATAAAGAAAAAGACTCTTTTCTACTTTAATATGTTTTAAAATTTTAGTAAATTTAATTTTTCAGCAGCCATAATTCCATAATCTTCAGTGTCACATGATCCTTTGGGAATCATTCTGATTAGCTGGAATATTTTTTTGTTTTGTTTTTAGGTGGCTCAGCTGCAGACTCAGGAGCTGGAACTTCAGAGACTGACACATCAGTGCCTCACTTTGAAAAACCAACAAGCAGAGCTAGAGACTGCTAAACATGAGGCGAATGAACAGGTTGGAGATCATTTTACCTCCCTTCTCACTGATTGAGAATTCCTTGTGAATGTTTTTGGTCTCACTTTTGTGTATTTGATGCTGTGGTTCAGGCACTAAGGGCAGAGAGCGCTCTGTCGCTGGCCCAGGCTCAGCATGTACGTGTGGTACAGGAACTAAGGGAACAGGTGGGGTCTGGCACCCGGGAACACTTGGCTCATCTACAAACTCAACTGGCCGAGCAGCAGCACAGGACGCAGGATTTAGAGGGTCTGCTTCGCTCTCAGGCCAAGCAAGCTGGCATTCAGATGGGCCTTCAGCAGGTACAGCTACACTTTCAAATTCTTGATGGGTGAACATGTCAATTTTCCTAAGCCAGACATCACTTTTGGCCACAACTGTATTTATCATTGAATCGTTTACATTTTTCAACCTTCACCTCATATTCCAAGTAATTGTATTTACAAACTATTATATCAAACAACAGGAGCAATACGAGAAATTGATGGCGAGTATGCAGGAGCGTATGGATGAAGTTGAAGCCAAGCTGAAAAACACCCGTGTGATGCTGCAGGAGAAAGTCAACCAGCTAAAAGAACAGGTAACCAGAAACAAGTGGCTTTAAAGTTCCTACGTGCTCTATAAATGGAGATATTTGTATCCCGAAAGAAAAAAAAAACGATTCTGAATTGCCTGAAATGAGTCGTCAGTAATTCCAGTCTTACTTCCTGCATAACCCTACATATAGACCCTTTTACAGTTGGTAAACATGGTGACGTTTTTTTGTGGGCGGAGCTTAGGTGGAGGCAGAAAGATCCATCTGGCCACTTCACTAACGCGAGTTAGCAAGGATTGTTAGCTTGTTTTTTAACAATGACTGGAGAAAATCCGATATTATCTTAATGTGTAAGGTCACTCAGTGTCCAGGACCGTGATTGTTATTTCCAAAAGTTATTTTTAACGGACAGAACCAGATTGGCCGACCCGTAGCCGCCTACACGCTCACTCAATGCATGGATGATCTGACCGGATTAACGTACGTTACCTCGAGTGAGTGGCCTGACTTCTACACCTACCTTATAGAGAAACCTAACTGAAAGAGAAACTGAGGCATATAAATCTTTAGATGCCTATATGGTCCTGTACAAGACTTGTGTGTATGATCCGCAGTTCTGCCGAGCCAGCGCCGAGACCACGACAATGTAAAGAGTGACATTACAGTGCGATTTTAATGATGTGAATATTTTCTAGAAATAAAAGTTCCAGACACAGCATATTCATTTTTTTATCAATTCTTGCACCAAACAACACAACAAGATGACATTTAATAATAGTAACAATTATTTAAGCTCCTTATTATGTAGCCGAATCTGTGCTGTTTTGCATTGACCGCCTCCAGTTTTCACTTTGTTTTGCCTCCAGCTAGCGCCGTGACGTAACTGTGACGTCGGCGCAAAAGGGGTCTATAGGTTTGTAACAAATTTGCCTAATGCCAGCCTATCTTCATTGGCTGCCCAGAAACATTTACCCTCAAACCCTGACGCTGTAGTTGTGGCTGAGGCCTGACAGAGTTTGGTTTGTGGGGTTTACATGTTGAGAAGACGCGGTTCTCTGCGCTGTGAAAAAATCCTTTTAAAATGAATTTTCAAAGGGCTCGAATTGTATGTTACTTTTCATATCACGGTGTATCAAGTGCAGAGGAAGCCTCCGGAGCTGAAATTCAGATATCAGAGCAGAATAGGCTCTCGGAAAGGTGGGGTTTAGAGGGACGGAATCTTTTTTAGACTCTTAGAGAAATTAGGTGATGTGCAGTGTATTTTGTAAGTGGTTTTTTGACCTTAGATTCATGTATACCGATTGCATGAGACCTCTAAAATAAAATTAGGAACTTTAAAATAGCATAATAGGGGCACTTTAAAACCATGTTACTGAATATACTTAAATGCATAATAGTACTTTTCTGTAATTTTTAGGATGTGAAATATTAGTTGGCATTTTGCAACAAGTAAAAATTTCACATAACCCCACATGCTGCATGTTATTTATAAATAAAGATGTGAATAAATTCTAAAAATGCATATAAAAGGTGGATATTTTATGCGATAAGAAGCTAGCGTGTAAATAACGCTTGGAACACATTTACTGAAAAAAATCCCCCAATTCGCAACTAAAAGCTCAAGTGACTTCATCAGCAGTGGATGTGATTGGATAATTAGACTAGATCAATGTTGGTTTGATCATTCTGAAATGCCTGAGCCAAAGTCTGCCATCAGAATGATTTGGTTTAATTCCCTCCGAGAAGCGTCTCACTCAGTGTTTATTGCGTTTCGTCTGAGACACGTCATTTATGATGGAGGTAAAAAGAGCCACATCGTCTTTCCCGATTGCTGCAACTTCCATTTTTATTAGATATTTTGTGACAATTTCCTAAGAAGTGGTGAATTTGTTCTCTACAACACATGGAATGGAAACGGTGCTTTATTCAAAAATGTTTTATGCGATATTCTAATTTTGCACAAGTAAAATTTGCAACTTTAGATGGAAACATATCTGTGATAGTGTCTTTTGTGCACATTTTGGCAAATGTAGGTCATCTGGGCATTTCATCCGTCCATAAGACTGTAGTATACATACTACAAACAAAAATAGTTTATTAGCATGCTTTTCCAAAGCTTGATATTTTGTATAGTGACAATCCTCTCTCCAACTTCCCCTCCTATAGCTGGGCAAAAATGCCAAGTCTGATCTGCTGCTGAAGGACCTGTATGTGGAAAACTCCCAGCTCATGAAGGCTCTTCAGGTGACCGAGCAAAGGCAGAAGAGTGCAGAGAAAAAGTCTTTCCTGCTGGAGGAGAAAGTGATCGCCCTTAATAAACTGCTACGTAAAATCGCCCCAGCATCGTTCACGGCTTAGACTTGTTTCACTCCATTACGAGCCTTTACCCGTTGTACTGGACTGTGAAGTCCCACCCGCTAGTGCACTTTTGTATTTTGGTGCGAATTGTTTTTTGTAAAAGCAGTAAACAATCCTAGTGTTAAAGTGAAAGCACAAATAATGCAAAGTCTTACAATTACTCTAACAGCATTTATTGTATTTAAATCATGCTGTTTTCAACAATACAAAGAGGACGAAGCGTAAAGTTAAAGTCTCTTCAGAGGCAAGCGAATTGATCATTTGTGAAGGACAGAGCTTTACACATTCCTTTATTAGTTCACTGTGACGTAGGGTACAAACCGCAAGCGTTCTTGCCAATCTATTGGCTTTAAGTATTTGAATGAGACGTATTCTTTTTACTGCAGTTTTAATGCCCATTTTATAACCAAAAGCACAGTATTCACTCAATGTACAGTTTTGATACAAATACTATATTGTAATTGCACAATTTTCAATCATGATGCACTAATGTCCACTTGGATATAAGTTATTCTAAGCGTTACGATTTAATGTACACCTTGTTTAAAAGAGCTGGCTAACTTTTGGGAGATAATTGTGACACCACTGTGTTGTAAATGCATCATGTATGATTTCCCACTGTAAGGAATGTGAGCAAGTAAAGGTTTACCTGTGTATATGTGTTGCTTTCTGATTATATCAAATGTAATTTTATAACATTTCAATTGTTAAAGTGAAGAAAAGATGCGAGTATCCACAATCAACTGCTTATTCTTAGGAGATGACATGCTCTAATACACCCTGCCGAATAAGCTGCTCACATTTCCATCTGGGTAAGAAGTGCTGTGAAGAGAGAAACGGTGAAACACGTTAAGCAAGATTAACAAACAAGCGGACCCAGTGTGATTTAAACATGCCCTTAAGAATAGTTACCTGGCTATTTTTCTTCAACAGAATCACAGTGCCATCATCTATTTCAAACTCTCCATGGTCTTTAAGACACCGCACCTGAATTTGAAGGGAAAGATACATCAGTGCTAAAAAAGTTCCTGTGTGTTATCACACACACACAAAAACCTACCCATTACATTAATGAGAATAAAATAACTAAAACAAAAGAAATAAAATCTTGAATATATAAAAATATTTTGAAATTAAATAAAAGCTATACATATTTAATATGAAAAAATATGATAAACTATTGAAAATTACAAACACTAATTTACTAAAACTTTGAAATGTAAAAATACATTAATACATTATTTCCCAGTTTCACATTCCAGTCTTAAACCTAATCCTAGACTAAAATGCATGTTTGAGCTGTTTTAAATGAAAGTAACGTGGACTGACGCATCTTAAAATATATCAGTGCCACTGTTTTGTCTCAAGGTGCACATAAATAATATTTTCTTTCAAGGCATGCTTATAAAAGCTAAATTGAAATTGAAATAAGGCCTAATCCTGGCTTAATCTAAGACTTGTCTGTGAAACCAGGCCTATGTAAGTGGCACTAAAATAACACTGCACTCACCTCAATGTATAAACTCTTAGGGGGCTTCATATCCTGTGTTATATCCAAACCTTCCTCTCCCCCAATTGATCTCATATAGGTTGCCAAGGATTTTTTATACTGATTGAACCACTCCATCTGATTTAGAAGCATTTGAATTGACATGTCAGTCACCAAGAAGAAACAACAAATGGCATTTAATATTTGTTAAACAGAAGAAATTCAGGCCCACCTCTTCAGCACACATATGAAACCTAATGGCTGTGGGCAGTACACTGCCGTACTCCCATCTGAGAGCACGGATTCGCAGGAGGCGATCATAACTGTGGGAAGAAAGAGAGAAATGTATGATCACACCTGCCAAGGTCTGAAGAGTGAACCAGACGATGGATAACAGGAAAACGGTGAACCGCTCACAGGTATGCGGAGATACAGCGCTGGTTCCTCAGTAGACAGCAGTGGCGGAACTTGATGCTTGGTATCAGCTCACTCTTGCCCTCTGTCTTTGTTTCATTCCTGTAAAAAAAGCAGGTTTATATGGAGTATACTGGATTTGTAGAATAAATCTTACAGTATTTATTTTAAATTGTAGTAGTTAGATGTACTTTTCGATTTTTATTATTTACTATATATTGTATTCCAGTATTAGTAAAAGTATTTTGTTTTGCTAAGACAACCGTTATCATTTTCTAAAGTTTTCAGTTTTACTTCATTTAAGAAAATGATTTTTAATGGCTTTGACAGTCAATGTGAGAGTCAACATTATGATATACTAATTTACGAAGTTATCTTGAGATGAATAGTCTAAGTCATAACAAAAAAGAATGAATAAGTCAACATTGAAATAACTGAGTAATAAAGTCATAATTATCTGAAAAAAATATGAAATTATGACGTCAATTATGAGAGAAAAGTTGAAAAATTATGTCAATTATTTTTTCTTTTTTACTTTTTATGTCAATATGACATACCGTTTAACTTTTAGAATCAGAAAACATATTTGGCTGAATGTCAAAAAACGGTTTTTAAAGGTTTTAGTTTACAAAAACAGTATTACAGCCCCTGCCGTTTGCTAACTAATCGAACACAGAAAGCATTAGTGTCGATGGCGAGAGCTGAGCACAGACTTACACATCACTCTGATTCTGTTCATACAGAGCCTTCATTTCTTCCAGAACTTGCCGAATACTGTCTTCCTGAGGAACATCAAGGACAAATCGGTATGACTTCACTTTGACATGTTAATGACATCCGACTGTTACTAACTTAACGTTAACGTAACCTGGTGTACTATGGCAGCTAACGGAAAGTTAGCTACTGTTTTCTATTATAAAACTATACGAAGCGCTTTAGCTACTTACATTAAACGCGGGCAGCTGGCCATCTCCCATCCGATGTAGTTCTCTAATAAGTTCGACTGCTTTTTCGCAGAACATTATAAATGTGTTTGTACCAAAATTATGTCGATATTTCTGTGATAGTCTTAGCTAGTAAATTTCTTAGCTATGTAAGCAAGCAAAGACAGTTTTCGCGGTATTTTTTGTTGTTGTGATCACGTGAGCCATAAAGTTCTCTACGGCGAGTCAAAAAGGACATTTTCAGATATGAGAAGTGACGGGACTCATGTCCGAGAATCGGTTCTTTCGAACTGCTCGTTTCAAAGAACCGGTTTAGTTATTATTTTCAAGAAGATCATGACATGCGTCGTTGTGTGCGTGAAGATACAACACAAGTATGAATGTTTATTGCCTAAAAGCAAACAACATTTTAATGCCTAGGCCACTCTCTGATAATAACTTCAACTTTGTGACCTTATACCAGACTATTACATATCCTTAAAAAGACATCGATTTTAAGAAACTTAGTGGCGTAGCACGTTGTGTTTTTAGGGTTCTTTTTTAAAGCGTTTGATTATTACAGATTCTTGTATTATTACTTCATAGTACTAAGCATTTAAGTAACCAAGTACATGCTGCCATCTATAGGTGAAAAGGTCACATGCAAACAAACAGTTTACAGGTCATCCCTCTTAACACCTTAGGTTTGGTGACACCAGTCTTTGGCAGTAGAAGGTTAATCACATCTTAGGTCTTTTTTTTACCATTTTTAGGGAGAACCATAATATTTTCTGTAAATATAATTCTTTACATGATGAACAAATAAAAAGCAGTAGATATTGTTGCGTTGTGCTATTTCTCAAAAGAAATAGACGGGAGATGGAGGTCCAGTTCACAAACACCCAAAGGGCTTGCTACCATCTCCTTTTTCATAATTGTGGCTTTTTATCATCACCACAAAATACACAAATTTAGACTTTTTCTGAAAAATAAATCAAAATAGAATATGCAGAAGTTAAACTCTTGGTACTTCTTGATGAGGTCTTGATTAGGGCCTTCAGGACACACTCTTCTCAGGTGAACGTTTTCAGTTTGTTAAAGCAATTGTGATTATTTTTCTTATTTAAAAAAAAATCAAAATAATCTGTATTAGGGAATCAGATTTTGCAGATATATGATAGCAAAGGACAGGGATGCTAAAATAATTTGTATTAATGACTGGTCAGACTTGCAATTAAGAAATGCATCTGAACCAGTCATTGGCTGAATTTATAATTTAATCTGAACATAAAACATGCATCAACAAATCATAAATTATCTTTACACCCATATGCACAATTGTGAGCATACAGAGCTGTCTGAACCACTGCCAACTGGACATGAAACTGGAAGTGTCCTGAAGTCCCGAAGTGTCCGAGCTCATGTTAGATTTTGTGTGGAAACGCAAATATTTTTGCTTGGAAGATTAAAAAAAAAATCTCAATTTTTTCCCCACCACCACGTCCCTTTAGGGGCTCTGTAGTTCCCTGAGGTCTTTATATGACATCTGTGACATGTTTTGGTCTAATAGTGTCCTGTGCTGGTCTGTGCAGCCAATGACAGAACAGTTTGCATGCTTTGCTCAAATGTTTGCCATTGCGTTAGAACTGGTTACACTGCTGTCGCTTGCGAAAACAAAATGGTGGCGCCGTGGATGGAAACGTGTAGATTAAAGGGCGGTAATATTATAGTGAGATCTCCTTCGTAGGTCAGAAGGGATCGGAATCTGATCGGCTTATTTTTTGACATGCTTTCAGAGAAAGGCTTAACAAAATAAAGTACTAAGTAGTCACTTTTCACATTTTCTGGGTTGGTAGATGCACCGGGGACCTGATTATACCACCTAAAAAGTCAGATTTTCATGATATGTCCCCGTTAAATGAGGAAACATCAAATTCTCCAAAGCTGTTCACCAAGCTTATGATTAAATTTCATATTTAAAATCTCCAATAAAATCTGAATCTCAGTGAAATTTCAGAACACAGAGCTTCAAAAGTTATCGACCAATTGGTGATTGGCTCTTTTAGAAGGCGGGACTTATTCCTCCATATTGCGTGTTGTACTTTCTCGCATTTACAGTTAAATGAGTGCTCTGTCTTTGTATATCTATAGTGTTTGACAGTGTGGGAACAGCAGTTTATAGGTGTGAGCTAGATTAAGCAATCACCCAAAGGCGTTTATGAGGGGTGCAAAAGGGGAGATATCATTCCCTGTGGACGTGGAGTCAATGAAGTCATGCTCTGTATCTACTCCACAGTTTGATTGGGACGCCTCCCAAACCGAGGATAACAGTATAATTAACAGGGACAGCTGCAGATACGGTCCCTCTGTCAGCGGCCACAGCAGACACCGTCCACTCCGCCTGGGCCCAAATCATCTTCTAAAACCATAGAAACCGTTCACAGCCATATCAGTGTCTTGTGCTACAACAGGTGGTCCCTGAAGTTCACAATTCAACCTCCCCCCTTGTCTCAAGTTTGCTGCCTACTGCTCAACATTAGACCCGTGGACACTCGCATTTGTCATAGAAAAACTCACAAACATCCTCTGCTTGGTTTGTATTTTTCAGGCCAAGATAAAAAATCCCACTTACATTCCCAAACATGTCTCTGTCAGAGCAGCGGTATCACATAAAACCTTTGGGGCTTTGAAAGCTGTCGCTGTAAGTGCTTATAGGTTCTCGGATGGTAGTCTCGGGTACCTGGGAAAGGAGTGGAGTGAAAATAACAGGGAGAGGGAGATAAACAGAATGAAGGGATGAATGGAAAAGAGCAAGAAGGATCAGAGAATGGGTCAGTGGGATTTGTCTTGTTTTCTCACACCATGAGTTAACCAGCATGCGTCTAAAGATCTTCAGCTATGTAGCTTTGGCTCCTTCAGTCTTTCTCATCGACCGGATCAAACGGAACGGATTCAGCTGTGGCCTCCGATCCCGTCCCGCTGGAACTGCACAAATGTTGCCACTTGAGCCGCGATGTCACTAACACCCCATCCGCTAACCCCCTCCAGCTGATTTCAAAAGAAACCTGCTGTCTGTTTGACCAGTGGTAGAGAACTCTCGGGTGTCCTGGTGTCTTGCCAAAAATGATTCAGCCAGTTGCGTGCACATATGCATGACAGTGCTTGATCGTTGGTATTTATGGCATAGTGTAATACATAATGTTTGGCATAGAGTGCAGTAGCCTATATAAAAGAACAGGGACCTTTCCCGGAGAGCCAATAAAGCTTATGGCATTTAATAGGAGTACAATTCCACGGTGTTGTAAAAGGAGTAGTTCACTTTTAAAAAAAACTTTTCGAAACGGTTCAAGGTCCAAAAGACAGTTTCAGTGCAAACTGTTCAAAGGGCTTTAAGCGATTCCAGACGACGAATAAGGGTCTTATCAAGCAAAATGATCAGTCATTTAAAAAAAAATGAACAAATCTTTTTTCGTGTCATTTGGTTCATTCAACGAACGAAATCAACGAGTTGACTTGGAAAAAGATTCGTTCATTGAACGAGTTCGAATGGGAGTGTCACGAACACACATCACGGAACAGAGCAAGGCGACCATTTGAGCATATTTATAAATAAATAATAATAAAAAAATAATAATAATTGTGATTAAAAAAAAATTGTAACTCGACTTAGGATGGTGACAAAATAAAACGTTGCACTTTTCTAAGTGTGTAAACTAAAGTGGATAACTATAATGTATGACGAATACCACAGCAAGTGTTTTGGAGCACTTCGACTTTGGACTCGGCGCAGTAATATCATCACTCCGGAGAGTGAGAGGGGGGAGAGGACTTTTCACGAGTGATGATATTACTTCGCCGAGTCGAAGTGCTCCCATGCACTTGCTGTGGTATTCCGCCATCCAATATAGTTATCCACTTTACACACTTAGAAAAGTGCAACGTTTTAGTTTGTGTCACCGTCCTAGGTCGAGTTACACTACTTGTGTAGGTAACTGTATTTAATTAGGAAAAACTTGGAGGTGTTTGGTCGCTTCTCTGCTTGGCCCATATGAACTGGGCTAGTTAAGTTAAGTTTGATCAAAGTGTCTCGCGCGCCAAAGCGATTGAGTGCACGCACTGAGAGAGGTATGTAGCCTATCAACTCGTCTTAGTTAAGGTAATAATATAGTTTAATATGAAAAAAACAAAACAAAACGGTGGAGTATCCCTTTAAAGCATGCCAGGATACTACATGAAGTTGGTTGAGAGAACGAACAGTGCTGGAATACACAAAAAATTATAAATGTATAAAAATAATAATAATACTGAAGAATGGGTAGGTGAAAAATAGAACAGAATGGACTAGATTAAATATGGCTTTATTTAATCAAGTGAAAGCTGTGTGTGAAAGGTATTGCGGCCTTGTGTGATGTGCTGTTTACTGTCTGTGTGAATTTCCACTCTGATGACAGATGTTTCGATCTGAATGGTGTCTGCTGTGGAAGGCCATTAACTCTAAATAAATACTTCGCACGACTATATGATGTACGTCTACTGCAAAAACATTTGGAGGTATGATTTAATCATTCAACATGCAGCCATACATTAATAGGGTAATGGGCTATATGCACGCACAAGTTCCGCATTTGACGCAAGGATGCTCGTCCATTTCCGGTTGTGGAGATTTAAGCGGAGGAGAACCGAGGAAAACGGGATTATGGCAGAGTCTTCAAAATTTACTGTCCTCCCGTCATTGAAACGAAACGTACATACGTTTAGATGTAATTTTATATATAGTTATGTTTACTTAATATAATTTTAAAAAGAAGCATAAACACAACGAGGGGTGTCTGTTTTATCTGTTTTTGTGACTAACGTTTCGTTAGTATAACCATGGAGTATAAAATTCAATATAAATTCTCGGTATTGCATTGGACTCTACGATCGGCGGAAGTTATCGAGCATCCCTAATGCTTCACCGGAAATACCGCCGTGCATAGAGCCCATTGCGAGGATGTCTAGTTTCAGCTTGTCATGTGAGTTTCGTCTGCTGTCCAACATGACATGTAGTGTCGGCCCCAAATGTAGTTCACATCTTCAGCTGTCAACATGAGCTGGGTGTCAGACAAGTCCATTTAAATACAAAACCTGTCCAACATAAGACCATATACCTTACGAGTCATCAGGCCAGTTCCATGGATTAGAAATTGGGTCCATCTGGTTGGCCTGTAATTGAATGCATG